TCAGCCGGAACGCAGCGGAACCGCGTTCCGGCACCTTTTTCCGGGCCGGCCGCACCGGAAATAGCCCCTCCCACACCGGAAATAGCCCCTCCCAAATTTTACTTGCATTCCTGTTCTCTAAAGGGGCGGTCCTAGGGTTTGATGAGGGCGTGGCCAGGTTTGAGTTCCGCCACCTTTTCTCCGAGAAAAAAAGCCCTGGGTAAAAGTGCAACTTTACGGGAGGGAATCAGCAAACAGTATTGCCTAAATCAAGCATTTAATGTGGACAAATAGTCTACAAAGCCATGATTTCCTGTGACCCTCAAACTCATTATTTTGGCCCCAAATTCAGCAATATAGTTGCTGAAAATCAACGACACATTTCCAGAGAAGACTATAGTGTAAGCTCCAACATAGGTCTTATATAATTAAAACAAAAGTCCAGAGAGGAAATAAGGCATATCAACCGTACCAACATGTGATGTGACCACAGATATTTGCATCATCAGATAACCTTTCCAACAGGAGGAGGAAAGCTGTTTAGTTCTTTATTATATTTATCAGTTAAGGTAAGACTTAAGAACATTAAAATGCAGTGCCACTATTGACAATGTTATCACTTTTTAAAAAAAAAAAAAGCTGATGGGACTGAAAGTGTTTGTCATTCTGAGAACAGTATCTCCTTGTATCAAAACCAAAACCTACAACTAAATAATGAACAAAACCTAAGGAAAGAATAACATAGAACACCAGGGTTTGGGAGAGACCTTGGAGGTCTTCTAGTCCAACTCCCTGCTGGAGCAGGAAACCTTATACCAGTGGTGGCGAACCTATGGCACGGGTGCCAGAGGCGGCACTCAGAGCCCTCTCTGTGGGCACGCATGCCGTCGCCCCAGTCATGCCTCCCCCCGTGGCCCCCTTCTCACCAGCAGACTCCCTGGAGGAGAATCACCCCTGGGTGCAGCCCACACAGAGCAGCGCAGCCAAGGACATAGCCGGGCAGCAGGGACACGACTCCGCCCTCACACCCCATAGTGTGCAGATGATGCTGCGGGGTATGAGCAGAGGGCGTGGCTGCCATGGTGCTGCAGGGCTGCCTTGGTGATCTGCTGCGGGCCATGGAGGCGGTGCATATCCCTGCGGGAGGGCGGGGCAGGGGGTGGGTGGGGGCAGAGCAGGCATGGTGGGAGGCGGAGCAGGCGGGGGGCGTTTTTTGGGCACTTAGTCTCTAAAAGGTTCGCCATCACTGCCTTATACCTTTCCTGACAAATGGTTGTGCAATCTCTTCTTAAAAACCTCCCACGTTGGAGCACCCACAACTTCTGGAGGCAAGTCATCCCACTGATTGTTTTCACTGTCAGGAAATTTCTTTTTAGAGTTGAGGGGAATGTATTCTGCGCGAGCTGCATTGGCTACCGGTGGCCTTCCGGGTGCGCTTCAAGGTGTTGGTTATTATCTTTAAAGCGCTCCATGGCACCGGACCTGGTTACCTTCGAGACCGCCTCCTGCCACAGATTACCCCCCACCGACCTGTACGCTCTCACAGAGTGGGTCTCCTCAGGGTACCATTGGCCAGGCAGTGCCGGCTGGCGACCCCAAGGGGGAGGGCCTTCTCTGTGGGAGCTCCCACCCTCTGGAACGAACTGCCCCCAGAGATCAGGGTGATCCCTGATCTCCCTTCCTTCCGCCGCGCCCTCAAGACGTGGTTGTTCCAGCAAGCGGGACTGGCCTAGGGGATTTTATAGGGGTTTTAATTACTTTTAATTGNTGGGATGGTTACAACTCCCAGTTGTAAACATTTAAACAATTAAGCATTTAAATGTATATAACATATCTGGTGTGGTCAGTGGCTGAAAAGATGCGTAGATTCAGGTTAAAAATGTTTTGTATAAAATCTATATGCTATTCTGATTCACTTTCTTGGAAGTAAAATGAGTCACTTGGCAATCCTATCCAGATTCCCTTCTTTTGATTCTTGGAAGTATTTTGGATGTTCAAACAGAACTTCTTGCACTGACCCTACCTTTCTTCTTTCCCTTCTTCAGTGTTTTCTCCTTAGCTGCTGACTTCAGCTTTGGAGACGGTGACGGTTTCTTTAGGGCTCCAGGTAACTGTGATTTTCTCTTCTGGTGGGGCTGAGTTCTTGCTTTCTCCTTTTGTGTTCGCCCATCAGATTTGGCTTGGGAACCCCGGCCTTTGGGATGCTGTGCTGTTGGCGGCTTTTTACCAGACTGTGTAGGAGTTGCTGAGCCATGAGTCAAAGATTTTCTATGAGATGCAGGCTTCTTCCGTTTCTGCCCAGAAGAAGCCGGGGGACGTTCTGTAGAACGGACAACTGTTTTGGAAGACTTGGTTGCAAGGCGCTCTTTGATCAGTTCAGGCACAGTCTCTGAGAAAATATGGTTTAAAAGGTCATAACTCACTTTAGCAGATTGACTACTTACAAATGCTGCCTTAAAGCAAGCAATACACCCCTCCCACATTTTTCCCTTATTCGCAAAAGTAGTGGAAGGTAAGATCATGTTTTCATTCAACCATAGGCATTATATTTGAAAGGTTGATCTGGGTAGCAGATTAAAGAAAAAGTATGAACTTATAAACATCTTTAAATGCCGTGCCCATATCTGTAGATATTTGGGGGTAAAAGTGTAACTTTACGGGAGGGAATCAGCAAACAGTATTGCCTAAATCAAGCATTTAATGTGGACAAATAGTCTACAAAGCCATGATTTCCTGTGACCCTCAAACTCATTATTTTGGCCCCAAATTCAGCAATATAGTTGCTGAAAATCAACGACACATTTCCAGAGAAGACTATAGTGTCCAACATAGGCCTTATATAATTAAAACAAAAGTCCAGAAAGGAAATAAGACATATCAACCGTACCAACATGTGATGTGACCACAGATATTTGCATCACCAGATAACCTTTCCAACAGGAGGAGGAAAGCTGTTTAGTTCTTTATTATATTTATCAGTTAAGGTAAGACTTAAGAACATTAAAATGCAGTGCCACTATTGACAATGTTATCACTTTAAAAAAAAAAAGCTGATGGGACTGAAAGTGTTTGTCATTCTGAGAACAATATCTCCTTGTATCAAAACCAAAACCTACAACTAAATAATGAACAAAACCTAAGGAAAGAATAACATAGGACACCAGGGCTTGGGAGAGACCTTGGAGGTCTTCTAGTCCAACTACCTGCTGGAGCAGGAAACGTTATACCAGTGGTGGTGAACCTATGGCATGGGTGCCAGAGGCGGCACTCAGAGCCCTCTCTGTGGGCACGTGTGCCGTCGCCCCAGTCCCGCCTCCCCCCGTGGCCCCCTTCTCACCAGCAGCCTCCCTGGAGGAGAATCACCCCTGGGTGCAGCCCACACGGAGCAGCGCAGCCAAGGACATAGCCAGGCAGCAGGGACATGACTCCGCCCTCACACCCCATAGTGTGCAGATAATGCTGCAGGGTGTGAGCAGAGGGCGTGGCTGCCATGGTGCTGCAGGGCTGCCTTGGTGATCTGCTGCGGGCCATGGAGGCGGTGCATATCCCTGAGGGAGGGCGGGGCAGGAGGCGGGTGGGGGCGGAGCAGGCATGGTGGGAGGCGGAGCAGGCGGGGGGGCGTTTTTTGGGCACTCAGTCTCTAAAAGGTTCGCCATCACTGCCTTATACCTTTCTTGACAAATGGTTGTGCAATCTCTTCTTAAAAACCTCCCACGTTGGAGCACCCACAACTTCTGGAGGCAAGTCATCCCACTGATTGTTTTCACTGTCAGGAAATTTCTTTTTAGAGTTAGGGGAATGTATTTAATTATTTAGATTCTCAAACTCAAAAGTTCCAGAAGTTACTCCAGTTCTGGTTTCCAGGAATTACTTGCAAAGATGTTCAGTTCCCTTTGCTTTGTTGGATCTGATTAGAGATCAGTAACTTTGCCCATCATCTCGGCTCTCCTCTGCCCTTTCCAGTGTTTTTTTTCCCATTTGGGAAGAAAAGCTGCATCTACCCTGAACTATTTTTCCTTACTTCCAATGATATATCTACCACAAATTAAGAAGCACTACCAAATCATGCTATCATGTTATCAGTAAATGAGCACACGAATCATTGACCAACTATATTGTCTGGACAAGGGATTATGTGAAAGAGATGGCAATAGAACAGAAACAATGTACAATTTCTTGCTGAAGAACTGACTTCTTGGGACCTGGAAAAAAGTGTTGAAAGCTGAACAAATCTTTCCTTTCAGTATGTCTGAATATTTGTACTATTACATAGTGAAAATAAACAGCAGAGCAAACCCAAATCTTATTGACTTACTTGCAGTTGGAACAAATGGGATCCGCTTGCTCTTTGTTTTCACTGGAACTGGCTTCTGTTTACATTTTCCTGGTGGAGCTCTCCTAAAACACAAATTGGATCACAAAAAAAATACATCTGGGCATCTCAATGTGGATAAAGAGTTTCGGTTTTTTTATCCTAGGAGGCTACCTAATTTTTGAGTAATTCAAAGGTGTGCAGTCGATGCAGATTTTTTTGGGATCTTTCCAAACAGGAAAATTATTAAATACAAAGAAGGTAATAACTGTATTCAATTAATTTAATGTAAATGCAAAAAAGACATTTTGTCGTTTTTGCTATTAAAGTTATTTTTATTCCTTTTGAATATGGGGACCAAAGGACAGTATCAAAAAAGTCAGGACATACCTAAAAAGGGTGGGCTTCAATAGTGCAGTTGCCATTTTGACCCTTTTCTAGATGCCCTGTCTTGAATCCTGATGTTAATCCTTTCCTTGACAGAATAATGGCTTTAATTAAGGATGTTTGTTAATATATTTTCTAATTAAAATGGACATTATTCCTCATTTACATAATCTGCCAATGAGATCATAGCTGCTTTTGTATATTTTCCATGCTCTGCTAATTAACTGTGACTTTAAACACAGACAGATAGATTAGCCAGAAGGAAGACAAACCATATTATAACAGTAACTATATTAATCCAGCCACAAAATGTATTAAGAGTTTGAAAATTGGGGGATTTTTTTTGTCAGAAAAAAATAGCTATAGGAAAAAAGGGAAGGTAGACCTGTGGCTGATATACCATATTAACATGATTGAAAAAGTTCCTGAGTAAAATAAACCTCCCTTGACATCTGCCTATTTTGAAAAAATAAGTGCCCCCAGAAGTGGCTAGAAAAGAGCTGTCATATGACATCTCACCACCAAAGAGTTGGTTTCCATAGTTACATTGCATAGTACTTTTTGACTATCATGATTAGCATCAGTGCTTTTTTTGAACAAAAAAAAGGTGGCAGAACTCACACACGTTATACAACCCGCCTTGCCTACCCTACAAGGTTCCATCCAAAAAAGATGCCGGAACTCCGTTCTGGGCGTTCTATGAGAAAAAAAGCCCTGGTTGGCACACATCTCTTAAAGGAAACCAGGCCTTGAGGCTAACCCTTGGCCTACATGGGATGATGAAAGGGATAAACCAACTTCTGAAGGATCACATCTCTCTCACTCACGTTTAAATCCTATATTTGGCCTCCTCGACATTATAGTAGCCCATACCTGTTATCATTTTATGTCCCAACTTTACTGAGAACATAAGAGAATACACTTATTATCAATTAAATGTACGGATATGTGCAACAGATGCCAATTGCATAGAATGGACAATGTTGATCCCTTCTTCTTTCAAAGGTTTTAGTCAAAAGGTTTTCACATACCCTAAAATACATGTATGCATACATACAATTCCTATCCAAACAACTCAAAGTTATGGCATATTTAAAAGCAAAATCAGTAGCTTCAACTATAGACTCAGCATGCTAGTTTTACTTTTGTACATACAGGTAGTCCTCTTTTAGTGACCAAAATTGTGACCAGCAACTCAGTTCATTAAGCAAGGTAGTCGCTAAGTGAAATCCTGGCTGGGTTTATTATTTTACTTCAGCTTTTCTTTGCTGTACAGATCCTCAAAGGCTGTAAATGTGAGGATTGGTTATAAAGTTAACGTTGTAACTGCAAATGTTCATTAAACAAGAATTGCCTGTAATCATCTGAAATCGATAGCTCAAATGCCAGTCCTGAAATTTCCTATTTCCCTTTTTCAAAGAATACTGTAAATTACATTTCCTACGTTCATTTTTTTCTATCCTTCCATAAAACTAGCAGCAGATAATTTTTTCTGCTTTTTTTTCCTGCTGCTGTTTTTCTTACTGCGGCTTGCTCTTGTGTAGAATATATCCAATGCTTTCACTTCAAGTCTATTCATGGAGTTTTCATGTTTGTCCTAGACTTGTTCCTCAGTTGCAGACAAATTCTACGGTAATCCTCCATTTTAAAATAAATACACGCCTAATTTACATGGAATGGAAAGATATATTTTTGCCTGCTTTCCATGCTGTCAATCCCGCAGAGTCTCCTGCAGGCCAACTTTCCTTGATGATCAGTTTTGCTTACCACAGCCTTCCCTAAACTGGCACTTGGTGAGATATGTTGGACTACAACTTGCTTCAGATGAAAATTAGAGTCCAACACATCTGGAGGGCATTGGCTGGGATAAAACTATCCTCTAAAATAAGAACAAGACAGAACAGAAAGAACTGGAAGAACATGATAGCTTCCAGTGATGAAAACAAGATGCACAGAGAGATGAACTAAACAGATTTTGGAGGACAGGCCCAGGCTTATCCCCTTGCCTCTTTTAAAGCACTGATTATTTGAACCATCATCATCATCATCATCATCATCATCATCATCATCATCATCATCATCATCATTATTATTATTATTATTATTATTATTATTATTACCATGTTAATGGGAATATAAACACTCCTCTGGATTGGTGGGAGGAGAGATGCCGAGTCAATTAATTCAGCCTTAAGTGCTTCTTTGAGACAACTAACCAACATCAAGAGTATGGGATGACTCATATGTCACACTAATATAATTTCTTTGCTTTTGGGTTAGAATGGACCAGGATGGTGAAAAAGCAGAACATGGAACATATATTGATATGACCTATAATTTTTAAATAGGGTGCTTTTTAAAATATTACAGATTTCACCACATACCCTCACACACATGAACTGATGCTCATTTGACTTCTGAGCAGAGAAAATAAAGCTTTTGTTGTGGGGCTATATACAAATGATTTGTTCAGGCCCTGTAAACAAGCTGTTTTTGAGATCATTGAAACAATCTTTCAGGTTGTTAGAACATAAATTAGAGTTTATAACTAAATGCATTTCATCTCTTTCAACATTTTCAGTCTTAAATGGCTTTTTCTGACAGGTTTTGTTTTACAGAGAAGCAGCTGTAGTAACAGGAAGCTTCAATGCGGGACTAATACAGACGGTGCTCTCTAATCTAGTGTTTCTCAACCTTGGCCATTTTAAGACGTGTGGACTCCAACTCCCAGAATTTCCCAGCCAGCTGCTGAAGCCCACACATCTTTAATGAGAAATACTGTATGGCTTTAATCTCTTCCATTCCCTACTCCGTGAGGGGAGAAAAGGCTTTCCCAGCTGCAAAGGAAAAAAAAATACAAATAAAAGTTGTGCACTCCTTCATTAAGAAAAAAAGAGTAACTTATCAATAATGTAAATTAATCCATGGATATCATTCATGAAACTGAAGTCAGATGGATTCATCAGAGTGTCTATGCAATTACAGATGCTTTCTTTCTTCTTTTTTCTTTTACAGTAGCTCAAGAAAAAAGTTTCAACATCTTGGAAGAGGTACCAACCTTGCTGGATCCACAAATTTGTAAATAGAGCCACGTGGCGCATAGGCACTTGGATAAGATGTAGCCATAAAATAAAGTTCACCTGGAGAAAACAGAAGGAAGGATGTGTAACGGGACTATTTTGGACAAGACTGAATTGGTTGTTAGGATGTAATTTCTCCTTTGGCTGGCTCATGTTATAGGTCACATCAAGGCTGAAGGTAGCTGAGTACTATAGCCATCCAGTCTGTGTTTCTTTCCAACTCCTGTTCTTGCAATTTCTGGCAGATATAAAGCTGGAAGGTTTTAGGTTATTGGTAAGAGAATAAATATAGTTGATTTGGCTTTATTGATTGCTAGTTGACCATGTCTGCCCACCTCTACTTTAAAACAAGCAAGAACAATGCTCTATTTTGTATAGAACTATGCAGCATGAATGACCAGACATTTCTCTTGGCATCTGCTCCTCACTTTAAATTTTTAAAGATATTTTTAATTTTAAAAGCATATTTTAATGGTAAAGTGGCTTACAGTATCAGCCTCAAGTGTAATTTTTGGTTCTAGGTTGAGCTATGTGCCTCACATTAGCCCACAGGCATCCTTAGGAAGTAAATTAGATGGCAGCTGATGCTCAGGACTTTGGGACTATGTCTATTTGATGGGAGACAATATATAGGTAAATTAACATATTAAAAATATATCTGTGAGACCCAAAGACTTGGCAGGAGCAACCTAACAGGTTGCATTCTGATAAATGGTTTTTGAGGACTGGTCATAATAGTAATTTTGCAAATATTTCTGCAATAGCCATTTTGTGAGAGCATCCACAGCAACCTCTAAACCTTTTAAGCATGTCCATCTATTCAAAAATGTTGTCTGTGATCAAAGACATGCTTTGGAAAGTTGCCACAAATGCAGAACAAGTTTAATTAGTTACGTAATTACACATACATGCAGTGGATACAATATGTGTAGACTGCCCCAAACAATTAAAACATCTTGGCAGTAAACAAAGCAAGAATAAAACAGAAAGCATGGTAAATAAAAATCAAATGAAAAGATGCATACATACCCAATAAATTCAAGCCAAAGGTTTAGTAAAATAATACTTTTTTAACTCCTTTGTGAAATCTGCTCCAGAGCATGGACATTATTATAGAAAAGGCCTATCCTCTATCTTCCACCCATAAATCTGTCATGGCAGGTAAGATTCCCAGCAGATCATCTCTATGGCTTCAGACCAGATGGCAGATTCAGTTTTGGCAAGACAGTGACTGAGGTATCCCTGTACTAATCATATACTTCTTTGATTTGGAAAATAAGATTTAAGAAACAGATTACCTGCTTCATCCTCTGCAAAAGAGATTATAAATTTGCTGTAGGAACTAATGAGCCCTGGAAAAGCACAGGCTTTCATGCTACCAATGCAAATATCTTGTTTCTTCCATGTATTTGTTCTCTCATCTTCCCGCAAAGCCATAAGTCGACTGAATGGGGAAAGAAAGTTAAACCTTATTTTTATTTTGCAATCCCATGATAGTTTGAAGTTTTAAAAAATAATGGTGGTACATGCAATATCTACAAAACGAGGGTCCCTTCTTAATTCAAGCAGAAATGAATTTAAACCTTGGTGATCCTGAGCCACACACCCTACTGCATTCACTTAGGAAAGGCCATAGGCCTGTGTTGGAGCATCTGCTTCCATGTAAAAAATCCCAGATTCAACCCCCAGCCTCTCTAAAAAAATCCCCAAAAGGTCTTTAAAACTTTCATCTAAAAGCTTAAACTAGAACTTCAGTGTAACAAAACTGAATTACAAGGATCAATATTGTGACTCAACTTAAATCACTTCCTATATTTCTCTATTACCCAGCATAGGGATTGTACAAAAGGTTATTCTTGTTATTAGCTTAATGATCACCATTTTGCTTCTGCAAACTGTGCTTGCGTTAGGGACACCATTTTGTGAAGGCAGGAAGATCACGTATACAGACCCAGAGACGGGAAAGAGCAGGAAAGTAATGAAAGATGATTGGTCAACATTCTGTGTGCCAACAAGTGTCACCTTGTGATTGGTTGTTATCTGTATATAGATAGAGGTGCCTAACTGACCACTGTGTGGCACTTCTGGATGCAGCTCCCAGTGTTTCAGACAGTGTTCCACCCAGCAACTACTATTGGCCAAATAAAGTTCTGTTTGACCTGGAAGCCTCCACTTGAATCTCCTGATTTGCCCCCTCAAGTTCTGACCCTTACACCAGAAATAGGGAGTTTGTGACCCTTCAGATGCTATTAGAGAATACTCCCATTATCCTTGACTACTGAACATACTAATTAGATATGATGTGAATTAGATGTGATGGGCAATAAGTTGCCATCTATTGCTCTATTCCATTTAAGTAACTTCTATATATTTTCCCTATCAGAACTGACTCTATGATATAGATTTTTAGATGTAGATCCATGATTTTGTACCCGTGGGAAGGACATTCATTTTCTGATGATTCTCTCTGTCTTGAAGGAATGGTTACCTGAATGTCTGCAACTGAGACATAGCACTGCCTGATGAGAACTGTCAAAAACTAGGTGATAAAACTTTATGTACACAGTGACAGCAGTTAGAATTGGAAGAAGACCTTTAGAAAGATGATGTTGAACTTCTCTACCATGGTCACTTCCTGTACTTTGATGTTTTGCTAGCCACTGGCTTTTACCTAATGGTAACTATCTTCAGATATATAATCCCAGATACATATTTGGGCTGAATGTGCTAAAGACCTATAGCTTGGACAGCCATCTTTTCAGACTGTCTGTAATGGATAGCCATAGTTTGAAGTAAATGCTGATAAAGAACCGCTTGAAATTTGATGGGAATTGCAGAATTTAATAAGCATAATTATCTCACCTCAACAGTGAGATAGATGTTATATACATTTAATTGATAAATAAATAATTTTCATAATGGGCAACACTGAGAACAGTCAAAAAGAAACAAATGTTTTGCATACTCAGGCAAGATAAACAGAATTTTATCTGATCATAAAGTTTATTTGTGACCAATAAACTTTGTCCTTCTTCATGTATTACACATGTTAGTGTATTTAAAAGTAAAAGGAAATAACTGTCCTCCTTACCCATTCATAAAGTCACCAAAAATGTAAAGGCCATTGAGGTTTGGAGACTCACACCCTTGATAAACATATCCACCAGTGACTGATTTTCCTACAGAACGTCCATAAGAAAATATTGGAAGTACATCCTCTGTTAAAAAAAAAAAATAGAAGTTACTCAACTGAAATTGTCTGATGATCTAAAAAGAAGCAAACAAATGTACAACAACAACAACAACAACAACAACAACAACAGCAATAATAATAATAATAATAATAATAATAATAATAATAATAATAATAATAATAATAATAATAATAATAATAATAATAAAAAAGTTGGAAGGGACCTTGGAGGTCTTCTAGTCGAACCCCCTGCTCTGGCAGGAAACCCTATACCATTTCAGACAAATGGTGTCCAGTCTTTTCTTAAGAACCGCCAGTGTTGGAGCATTCACAACTTCTGGAGGCAGGTTATTCCACTGATTAATTGTTCTAACTGTCAGGAAATTTCTCCTTAGTTCTAGGTTGCTTCTCTCTTTGATTAGTTTCCATCCATTGCTTCTTGTGCTGCCTTCATGTGCTTTGGAGAATAGCTTGACTCCCTCTTCTTTGTGGCAGCCCCTGAGATATTGGAACTCTGCTATCATGTCACCCCTCGTCCTTCTCTTCATTAAACTAGACATACCCAATTCCAGCAACCGTTCCTTATATGTTTTAGCCTCCAGTCCCCTAATCATCTTTGTTGCTCTTATCTGCACTCATTCTAGAGTCCCAACATCTTTTTTACATTGTGGTGACCAAAACTGGATGCAGTATTCCAAGTATGGCCTTACCAAGGCATTGTAAAGTGGTATTAACACTTCACGTGATCTTGATTCTATCCCTCTGTTAAAGCAGCCTAGCACTGTGTTGGCTTTTTTGACAGCTACAGCACACTGCTGGCTCATATTTAAGTGATTGTCCACTAGGACTTCAAAATCACTCTCACAGTTACTACTATTGAGCAAGGTACCACCTATACTATACCTGTGCATTTGGTTATTCTTGCTTAAATGTAGAACCTTACTTTTTTTCTCCATTGAATTTCATTTTGTTAGATAGTGCCCAATGTTCACGTCTGTCAAGATCCTTCTGTATCTTGATCAAGAGCAATGTCAGTGTTAACCTCTGATTAGTATCTACTAATAAGAATCTAAATTTCCATTGGGTCAATCCTTAAATAGCTAAACCAGCACCACTTCTGCAGAGGAGGATGAACCTCAAGATTTATAGCTATACAAAACAAATCCAAGTTAAGAAAGGTTTATTGGGAGAATAGTATCTCAGAAACAGGGCAGTGGTCCTTTCAGGGTACACAATTAATAGTAGCGTAGAGCAGGGGTCCCCAATCCCCGGTCTGTGGACCAGTACTGGGCCGTGGCATGCCAGCAACAGGTCTGCACAAACAAGGAAAGCCCCATCCACAGGATGCAGGCAGCACACAAAACCACATCCCCTCCATTCCACGGAAAAACCTCTCTCCATGTAACCAGTCCTTGGTGCCCAAAAGGTTGGGAACCTCTGGCATAGAGCACCATTTCTCTGAGCAGTAAGCATGCATACAGGTATTGTTTTCTACTATGTGTTGCTCGGAGAAAATTTATTTGCCTGATATTATTCTTGATTAAGTACACTAAGTGTTCTTAATGCACTTGTCATTCGACCCAACTATAACTGCAACATAGTATGTAAACAGTCTTACAAGGAATAGGCCTGTCCAAATATCTATTTAAAGATTATTTGTTTGCTCATTTATTTTAAGAGATAAACAAAACGTTAAAATGTTTATAGGCAGGGCTTTCTACTTGATTGACATATATAGAAGTAACACACTCATTTAGAAACTCAGGAAAGATCTTAGCTGCAGTGTTTGCAGAGAAAGTCTATGGAAGGCCAAATCCCCAAACCAACATATGGTTACAAGCTGCATGATCCACCTTTTGGTAGAGAGGCGGAACTGGTGACACAACTCCACAACACATTTTGCCATTTTGAGAAAAACATCCTGAGGATGCCTGCATCTCTTAGGAAATGGATGGCTTAATGTAGACTTTTGATCTGACAGACTCTGTGCTCCATGCCAGTTTTTTTAGCAACACATAAACATGCTAAGTAGGTTTTTTTTTATGATTTGGAGAACACATAGTGGGTGGGAACCCACTTCCTAATATTCTAGTGCTATATCTTGCATTCTATGAGTCTTTGTGCCAAGCAAATACTGGCAAGTCTTTGGGATATCACTACTTGTTATTTGGACCAGGCTGGCAGAAATAGGGTCATGCATTGGTGAAGGTTAGCCTTTTCTGCAACACTTTTAAATGTAGGTAGTGCCATGATTGCTTATGTGGAGTTACGTATGTGTATTTTTGATTAGTTATTCTTTTGTCTGTTTTCAGCAATAGGTTGAGCCTTGCCTTCATTTTCTTCTAAGAAAACAGCAGCGTGTAAGAAGCAGGCAAGGGGAGGAGGGCTGTAAAATACTGAAAGCAGCTTCACACATCCCTTTTGTATGCGTATTGTGATGTTACATGCATGCATGAAAAGGGTTTCATGCCATAACACTGCTTTTATTGTTTTAATGACAGTAGTAAGTTGCTATAGATGCCTACACATTGGTGTTCATCTTATTAGAAGCCTTGAGATGTTGTAATAGAATAGAATATCTTTATTGTCATTGTGTAACTCACAAGGAAATTAATACTTACCTAATGAGGAAGTTTGACACAGTTTTGTGTCATAGCACTCAAATCCTTCCTTGGCTCTCCAACCATAGTTCCCTCCTTTAATAATTATATCCACTTCTTCAAATCTGTTCTGGCCGACGTCTCCACAGAAAATTCGTCCCTTTCCCTTCTGACTGAGTGGATCTCCACGATCCACAGAGCAGCGCCACATGTTCCTCACACCATATGCATAGACTTCAGGGCGAGCTTTGGGATCCGAGGAAAATGGATTGTCATTGGGAATGCGGTAGGGCTTCCCCTGGGGACCTCTTCCATCCACATCAATCCGTAAAACTTTCCCTAACAAGCTACTCCTAAAAAAAAACCAAGACGTAAAAAGGCACTGTTAAAGGCATGGACAAACAACTTAAGTCTACAAAAAGTTAAAAATGGATAAGCAGTTTGGTTTGGTTTAAACTGCTATAGATGAAATAATATAATGTACTACTCAGCAAATAATACAGTAATTGTGAAGAGTAGTTGTCAATAGAGATTTATCCTGGTTTGGGAAGCAGAGAAAATCTTGGTTTATTTTTTATTTCATCATGGAACTCCTCAACTCCTGAATGAAATCTTAAGCCAAGGCTTGATCTCCACATACAGAATACTAATATTTACAATATACTATTTGAATGTGAGCAGTATATTAAGAAATCTAATTGGTTTGTCTGTTTGCTTACCATGCATTGAATATATGTTCTGATAAATATTTTTCACTGTTATAGGGGACTATTGGCATATGCCAGTAACTTTATTTAATAGCTTATATTAATAAATTGCAGAATTATTTGAAAGGCGCACACCTGCCATTTTATCAATAACATTTAAAACAGTTTTATTAAATAGTTTTAAAAACTGATAGAAAGATTTTTTTCCCCTTTGGTTCAATTATATCTGATTTTTGGAGACTGCCTGAACAGACTGCCCCTGAAGTTTTCTTGGCAAAGTTTTTTAGAAGTGTTTTGCTATTGCCTCCTTCCTAGGGCTGAGAGAAAGTGACTGGCCCAAGGTCATGCAGCTGGCTTTGTGCCCAAGGCAGGACTAGAATTCACAGTCTCCCAGTTTTTAACCTGATGGGTTAACTAATGCACCAAACTGGCTCTCAATATTAAAAGTAAAGTTCAATAAAAATTAATTTACAATAATTGCAATAATTAACTTTATTGAACTGTTTATATTAACAAACTTCCCATATAACCATTCACATTTAAATGCAATCAAAGGTGAATATATTTACTTGTTTTGAGCATTTCCAAATTTACCAAAAGGGTCCCCAGCTTTCCCTCCATCTCCAGTAAACAGATACAAGTAACCATCTAGTCCAAACAGGATCGCTCCGCCATTATGATTTGCAGCTGGTTGTTCAATCTCTAAGAGATTCCTAAAGAAGAAAAGAGAAACAATATGCAAGGGGAAGAAGAAAAAACAGATAAAGTTGGATGCCTTGGATGACTTTCAAGGATTCTTTGCAAGTAGATTATTTATTCAAGGATTAACTACAACAGCTTATCAACTTAGTGCTTTTGTTTAACTTTTCTTACACTAAACAAAGAAAGGATATTAGCATTCTTTTGCTGATCAGAGGCACATAATAAAACCTGGGTCAGGACACAATGTCTATCAGCATCTATGCTTCCATGATTGTAGACAGATTGTAATTTTCAAGAAAAGTATTATTGTTTTTTTATATATTTTGAATCCAAACTGTTAGTCTGCACAACTCTGGATGCAATAGCAGCCTTGCTGCTGCTTCTGGAGTATGATTGAAGCTCTGAATGGTCTTCTGCATAAGCCATTATTATCTCAGAATGGATTCATGACTCTCCCTGTCTTTTGAAAAGGGAATATTCAAGCATGGTTTCAGGGTTAAAAATAACATGGTCTCATGAACCTTTTTTTTAGGACCTCTCTGTGCCTTCATGAATGGCCCTAGTTTTGAATACGACATTGGTTGATCAGCTTCTAAATCAGGATCCTAAAACATCTGTTATGCCATACCTCAGCAAAAACAACAGAAAAGCCTGTTTATCGACCAGAGTTTTAGTTAGATTCAGAGTCACAAACAGTTAAAAACCACTGCTCTGAAATGATGTGGGCTAAAGAGTGATGTGCACCATAGATAGATGTGTTCTTGGCTTAATACCACAATGTTACTTCTCTTGCTTAGCAGCAGAAAAATAGATGACATGCATAATCACTTTGTATAAGTGGTTCTTAATTTGATTTATTTATTTTGAAATGGGTTATCCATGGTCTTAGTATTCTGTTTTGGTCTATCCTGTCTTATAAGATTTTATGTAAATGAAATGAGCAAATATGTCCTCCAGACCTGGAAGAAAGCAAGTTGAGGAAAGGCGTTATTACCTTTCTGTGGTTACATCCGCCTTGTTGACATCCGATGTGGAGACCATCAGTTCACTAATCCTGATTTTTTCCACTTTTTTCTTGTCCTGGTAGGAATAATAGATGTAGAATTTCCCATTTTCTCTGTATTGGGGATGGAAAGCCATCCCAAGGAAGCCCCTCTCATCCCCAACCCAGGGGGTAGTCAGCACCAATTGCTTAATGTCTAGAAAAGGTTCTTCTAATCTACTTCCATCTGGGAGGTAAACCCACACAAGGCCCACTTGTTCAGCTGCAAACATTCGATGGCTATTGTCATTGGCATGCACCATGAGCACTGGATTCCTTAGCCCATTGGCCACTTCTTTGAGGCACAGTTGAAGGCAACCTTTCTTGTCTGCCACCACAGCGCCCAAGTTATCATTTAGGTCAGTGTTCTTCAGTACATCAGGGAAGCAATAGTCTTTGTCCTGAATGTTTAAGATGTTGCAGAAATGGGTCCTGTTCTTCTCACACCATTTTTGAATGTGCCTGTCATCTGTAAGCAGTGTGATTGCCGAACGGCAATAGAGATGGAATTCTGAGCAGTAGTCAAAACAAAGGCCAGGGAGGTTTCGAAGGGGCGTCTGGGGGTTCTCGGCATCATAGAGATGGGCTGCATAGGGCGAGCATTCCTGTTAAAGATTAAAACATTGCGTTATTCTCTGAAATGCTATGGAATGGATTGTGACTGTTTGCATCTGCTCAATCGTTTGAATCTGCTTAACTCAAATGTGAATAAATAGTTATAAAGACATTTCATATCGGCAGAGCTTCATGTTCTTAAGGAACACAAACATCTAAACATATTTCTAATTTTTTCCTGCAGAATGGAGGAATAAATAATAAATTGGATCCAACACAGTAGACTAGTCATTAACCCATTGATTGCAATGTGGGTGATTAAATCTGGACTTCCCTGTTGTGCATACAGATTAAGAATGTGTTATTTGAGTCCAGTACTTATATTCAGCAGACAGTCAAACATCAGGTGCTGAGCAATATTGCAGGTGTGTGTGTGTGAAGGGAAGGAGATAACGTGAGGAAATATTGATTGCTTGGAAAGCATTTGTTACCATAGCTTAAAATATTAAGATAATGATTTGAAGAGAAAGGTTAAAATAAAAACAACTATGCTATATTTATCCTAGGTAGGCTAGAAGTGGAAAAAAATTAAATTAAATTAAATTTGGACCTCTAATGTGGGCACAGTACCTGAGGTTTCCAGAAAAAGTCATGTATTATTTGAAGAGTTGGGGGCAAATAAATTGTGGTTGCATTTACCTCACATATTTTATATTTTCACAATCCTTTTTGAAATTACCTAAAAACCATCTTATTAAAGTCAAGCTTTTATTCCAATTTACCATGTTTAAATTGTGATTTGTGGTAGCAGTGCCCTTTCCCATCCACCGCTATCTGATATCTTTAATGGGAAATGTCAGCAGCATTTTCCATGCAAAGCAAATTATCTGGGTTCCTGAAGAGATTGGGCTGAGACAACAAATGAGCAATCAAGGTCAGCAGTGTGATTCAGGCCTGAGCCAAGAGCTCTAAGAAAGCTTTTTACCCTAAACATTTTCAAATTATACAGATCAGGCAAATGCCCGATCTGTAGAGAAGGTTGGTGGGTACGGGTCTTCCATTCTTTTAAATCATGTTACTTGTAGGATAATACACACAATTTGAAAATTTTAAATAAATGAAACCTACAAAGTTGCTACTTAATTAAAAAAAATGTAACTGAACAAATTAATACCCATTTTGCCACAATTCCCTTAGGTTTATGATCTATTGCTTAAACTCCAAATCTTGTCCCTGCTTTGTTTCTATATCAAAGAATACAAGTAACATCCACTGTGACTAAGTATGCCTAAAGTTAAGACAATTCATTGGGTTCACATAAGAATTAAATTTCCTTAACAATAAAAAAAAAAACTCAGCCCCTCTGCTTCTTTTCATTTTTCCATGTGAGATGGTAATCGAAGGGGTGTTCTGATTGCTATTCTTATTTTCCCTCAACAAGAACTGGGCATATGAAAAATTCATTCCCACATTGTCCACTGTATAATGATTCCATTTGCTCATTTGAAAAAGTTGCTTCCACTACATAATCTTTAATTTAGAATTAGTGGTCACCAGTGTGTAAATGCTACAGTAATTCTAGATCAGAGGTCCCCAACCTTTTGGGTACCAGGGACCAGTTCCATGGAGAGAGGTTTTTCCGCGGACCAGAGGGAGCGTGGTTTTGTGTGCTGCCTGCATCCCGCGGATGGGCCTTTGTTTCTTTGTGCGGACCATTTGCTGGCATGCTACAGCCCAGTACTGGTCCATAGATCAGGGGTTGGGGACCCCTGTTCTAGATAGCTGCTGTAAAACACTTTCTGCTTGTGTGAGCATCTATTTATCTTCCTTCCTTTCTTTCTTCCTAAGAGCCACTTATATTAGATGATACAGATGGTGTTTAAGTATGCTGTATCTTATTCCTTTCCTACAAAAGAATGTCTTCAAATTAGATTCCCACATAGCTGCAGATTTTTTTAATCAATCAAAACTTTAGAGAATAATCCTAATCTGTTGGTTGGAATTCAGAATGAACAAAAATATTCACCCTTGCTTATGCAGAAATGTTCTGCTGAAGGGCTAGGAGAATTGCTTTTATACATGTTGATCTGCTGGTGGTGATGTTTCTGCCAGTAGGACCCCAACCAGGGTTTTTCAAGCATATACGAAGGTAGATCAGAGAAATCCTTGGATGAAATTTCAGGACTGGACTCTCCAAGTATTCCAGTCTGAAGCTAACCCCAGTTAATTTTCCATTCTTGAATTCAAGAGTCAGATAGAATTTCAAAGATGCAAAACTCTCTTGTGGATCATCTTCCATTTTACTCTCATTCACTTCACTCAAGAAGGATTTAAAACAGAATACTATGATCTTTGGGGTTTCTATTTGAGAAAAAAGATTAAAAATCATTTTTTCTTGCAGAAGTTAATGACAATTTTGTTTATTAATTTGTATAACCCTTCAGAATGCATTAGTCTGCAGCTTTCAGGAACTGTAGTGACTGGCTGGAAATTTGGGGGGTTGACTTAAAGTCCAACAGATTTGGAGCTGCCTAATTAGAAAGGGCTGCTGTGCCAAGACATAACAAGCATGATAAAAAGTCCAAAATGACATGATTCACAGCACAACCATGAATAAGGCTGCTTAGACTACTGACATCAGAGTTTTGTATTAGGAAAATGAATCAAGGATTCCAACAGTGACATAATTAAAATGTATTTTATTTAAAGTGCAGATTTTTAATGCAAACTCATCAGCTGTAAGATGTTATTAATGAAACTTGGGCAATAGGATTTAGCTTAATCCTTTTCTCTCCAACTGTGGCTGCTTAGAACATTTCTCTTCTTGGTCTGCACTGAGATGAAAACTACTATGTGATCCATTTTCTGTGTGTTAAAAAAAAGGGGGAGTTCCTGCCCTTTGGAATAATTTATCCCCTGAGATCAGCTCCCATCCTTCTGACCTTCCACAAGGTCAGACCTGGCTGTTCCAGATGGCTCCGGAACAGCCATGGGGGGGGAGTATCACACTGGAGGTGGTTGATTAATTAAGAGCCAATTCCACCTCCCCCCACCCTCCGTTCCTCCGCTCCCAGATCTTGTAACTGTGATTTTACTTTGTTTGCATTTTCATTTGATCTCTGATGATTTTACTGATTTTATGCCATGAGCCACCTAGAGTCGCTTTGAAATGAGATAGATGGCAAATAAATTTAATAAATAAATAATAAATGCATTTATACATTAATTGCAAAATTGCATTGAGAATCACAATAACTTAGGGTTCAGCAGTTGTACGATTGCGTTCAAAATGGAATCCTGAAAACAATTCTATACTGACTTAACAACATTAGGACATACCCAACATGTATAGGTCATTGATGAAGGAATGGCAAGCCGGAAGAATGTTTTTTGTTTTGCTTTTTTGTTTTTGTTTTTTGTTGTGTTTTTGCTGCTCAGTGCTGGCATATGGTAAATTACAACCACTTGGCTTCAGTCAGAAGAAACCCCTTCCTACCCATAAATCAATGAATACTGTAGGCAGGAGGCCAGGAAGGTTCCATGGGACAGTCATTGTTCTCGTCACACCAGTGGAATGGCTATTTTGGCAAGGCAAAGAGCAGGCTGGGAGACAGGGAAAGGTGGGGAGGGAGCAGAGTGGAAGGTGGCTGTTCCAACAGTTGTTCTAAAGCAGGGTTGGGGAACCTTGGCTCTTTTATGACTTGTTGGCTCAGGAATTCTGGGAGTTGAAGTTCACAAGTCATAAAAGAGCCAAGGTTCCCCACCCCTGTTCTAGAGGCATGAATCCAGCTGTTTGATCTAAGACTGTCTTCAGGAGCATAGCTATTGCTGGTCATTAAGAGTGCAGTCTAAACACTCCCTTTATAGCAACCAGAAACCTAAATACTAAGGTCTGTGGGTTGATTTGATTCATTTGCCAAGTGCCTACCTCAGGCTGCATTTGAAAAGCCACAAAAAGGTCTTTTGGCTTTGAACATGAAATAATCACCTTAATCCTTTAACGGAATGCAATATTTATTTTTTATTTCATCACCAGGATATGCCATTCCATAATCTTCTTCCTGAACTCACAGCTGTCTTGCAGGGGAGGCTTAAGCTTGACAGACAGGCCAATTATGCAAGAGGTGATTATATCATTCTTCTTTAAACTGATTTGAGAACATTTTTGCTTCTGGTAGAGTGCTTTATATAGATAGAGATATATAATTTATCATACTGCTGCCAATGTCCAAACAGGCTTATCCCAAATTTGAAAAATCTGTTTATCAGGGAATAAAATGATATTAGTGTTCAATCATAAGCACTGGTTTTCTTTTCAAGCTGCCTTTACATTTTTGGAGAGAAGAGAAGAGCAAATGTACATTACTCTCTCCAGCTGCAGTTTTTTTACTTGGAACTGTGAATTCATCAGAAGGCAAATTTCTACCCTTGAGTCATCCTTAAATTATTGGCTTAGTCGTGTAACAGAATCTTTCAATTATAATATGGTTAGCATCTATCTATCTATCTATCTATCTATCTATCTATCTATCTATCTATCTATCTATCTATCTATCTATCTATCTATCTATCTATCCATCCATCCATCCATCCATCCATCCATCCATCCATCCATCCATCCATCTATCTATCTATCTATCTATCTATCTATCTATCTATCTATCTATCCATCTATCTAAATTATATAGTTGTCCATCTCACAAACAAGTTATTCTGGGAGATATACAACAAAACTAACACAATAATTTCCATGCAAAGCAAATTTGCAGAATTTATGCTCATTCAATAGGCTCACCCTACTTACAGCAGAAAAATGCTCCTGGGAACCTTAAATGCAAATTCTTAAATTACCATTCCCACCATTTCTCAGAAAAGCCAAAACAGCTGACAATCATATCCATCATAAGGGCACATGAGGAAGATGAAGCTACTCACCAACACCTTACCTGGCACAAGATATCTTTGATGAATCCTCCACATAGTTTTTGGGCTTGGGGATCAACATAATCCATGATGTCCCAGTATTTGGCAGCAATATGGTTGTCCTTCTCTTGCTCGCAACAGCCAAATGTTTCATAGGCAGAGCAAAACTCCAGATGGAAAGGAGGCTGGAAAGGAGGACCATAATCCAGGCACTGGGGATGTCCCAGGAGAACTGCAGCATGGTGCAAAAGGAGTATGGAGATGCAAACGAGGAAATAAGATGCATGGAGAGAAATCCTCGAACTGTGGAGGCTTAAAGTAGTTTTCTCCCGTGGAGGTTTTCTGGGGTCATGTGAATATGATATGTGTCCAGCTGGATAATTGGGTTTATTCATCTTCTAAGCTGTGATACATCGGCATGGAGCTCAATGTTTGCTCAGGTTTGCTTCCAGGCATGCAGGCGCACACATCTACCCTAATCCCTCCCTGTCTCATTAAGTTTGCTAATAGTGAGCTGAGAAGCAACTTTCCAAGTCCGCCTCCTTGCAGTTCCACGCCCCCCTCCTTCCTTTTTCACGAAGTTATCTGCTCCCTTGAAAACCATAGATTTCATTCAAGAACACATCCAGACTGAGATCGATAAGAGGCAGATAGGCAGACAGACCGAAGAATGACAGCCACTGCAACCGTACAGGGATGTCTGGTCTATGGTTACAAGGCGGGGGGGGGGGAGGATCTGTTTTTTCCAGTTCCAAATGATTCCCAAACTTCAGCCAAATAGCTGAGAATGAAGATGAATCATGTCCATCAGTTACATTCCCATTCCAATTTATTTCAGCTTAGTCAGACTGAATTATAAAGAAACATGATTCCCCCTCCACATCTGACCCTAAGCATGTTGAAACAAAAATAGGATTTTTAATCACTTGTAAAGGAATTGCTTCTCACTGCAACAATTTTGGATTGATAAAATATATTTCAACCTCAAAATAATATATTTTAAATGATTGAGAGAAACAGACTTCACACACACACACACACACACATACACACATATGCTATATGTATGCTAGAGATGCTCGCCAAGCAAAGGGACCACAGGATTTTTTTTCTGCTGAGCTATGGCATCACACGAACAGAAGGTCATATGTTCCCTACTGACCTAGCCATATCTGGGTTTTGTCTGATTTTAGAAAACTGTTGACTCTGGAAAAACTGATTGCACTATATCTTCTGTATATAAAGTGCTCTGCTCCTGAGCTCTGCTCCTGTCTAAATTAGCAGTTCAAGAATTCTGTATATGGCAGACTGAAATTTTATCTAATTTCTGGTTGCTGTGAGAAGGTGCCAGACTGAGTCTGATCTCAAATTAAGTAATTAACTGGCAGCTAATTACTCTTCCCCAAAAAGATTTAAACCAGTTATTAATCTTCTGTCCTTTTTATTTCATCAACTTTTTACTCTGCTTTATTAGATAGTACTGTACTTGCTATATTTTACTTTACTTTTTTGCCCTTGGGCCTAAATACTGTGTACTATTTTTGTTGTTACTTATGGGTTGGATTTACAAAACATTATAAACTGCACAGGAACAAATTAATTTGCTTTGTGAATCCACTAGGCCAGGGGTCTGCAACCTTGACAACTTTAAGACTTGTGGACTTCAGGTCCCAGAATTCCTCAGCCAGCTATGCTGAGGAATTCTGGGAGCTGAAGTCCACAAGTCTTAAAAGTTGTCAAGGTTGCAGACCCCTACATTAGGCAGATCAAGGAAAGAGCCAGCTATAACTCAAAACTGTATGGGGATAATTATGAATCAAACTACCCTCCCTCGTTCGCCTTCTGTGAACCCCAAACCCCATTCAATCATATGGCAATATCCAAGTTCTACCAAGTCAGCCTTTCAATGAAACATGATAGAGGAGTGGAACAATAAAAAAAAAGTAATGCCATGGTCTGCAAGCCACAGAAATGGCCTCCCAAGCACCACCATGATGAAAAACGATGGTCAAAGTTATTCCTTGCATACCTGTTACATTTTTCCAATACACTAAAGCAATGTTGTATTAATGTCCTTTCCTGAGGCCACAAGAAAACAGGAATCTGGCAAAGTTAGGCTTCTCCAACCTCCTTTGCATCTAATATAGATATCAGAAAAGGGAAAGAACTTTGCAGCTTGGTTAGAAACGCTGGCAGTTACCAGAAGTGGCTGAAGGCAATTCAGTTCTACCATTGCCCAATACGTTTGTTGAGAGTTGTAACTGATGTGGATTCATTTACAAAACTGTACTAGAAGAAATATACATTGGCCAATAAGAATAAAGACTGATGTCATCCTTTTGTTTGCAGCTGTCCTACTCATTTTCATGTTTTTCATCACTCACTGAAGGGCAGAAGCTGCCTTGTCCAAGTCTAGACATTCTCTGCAGGATATCTTTGTGAGTTGCTTTGTCTAGCCACATATCAGACAATGACACATTTCCAAGGACTAGAGGTTGGGCTGGATGGATGAATACTCTTTTAAAACATATCACAGATATATATCCATGATATTCCTTTCTTTCAGGTTAACCTTATGCAGAATGTTCTTTAAAGAACCTGTTCTTTGGTGTTTCAAACCAGCTTACAGTTTCAATTCTCTAAAATATAAATAAATGTATGCATTGATAATCAGTCAACTTACACAGTGGCTTACACTATGTAGTTATTTAAGGCACTAACTTCACCATTTTCCAAGGTTAGTCCTGCCTGCCTCTTGAGCTTGGTCCTCATATACTACAACATGCTATCCATGAACCAGGAAGCCTTCAGAAATATCTGCCTTCAGGATGCATCAAAGACCACCATGTGCCTGTTCAAAAATTATATATAACCACTAGCCACATCCATATTTAACGTATTTTGAGTTATGGTGCCACAAGATGGGCAGACATATAAACATTTTAAATAAGTTTCAACTGATGTACTGTATGTGCAATTTTGGAAATGTAAATTATCATGTCTATTTCTTCTAAAGTCTCAGTTTTTAAAACTCTAAAATCTAAAGCCTCGATTTTTATTTTAATATAAACATAAATAAAAAAGTAAAGAAGTTCATTCATGAAACAGATTTATTACAGAAACATATTTTTATTGTAAAAAAAAATACAATTCTTATCAATATACATACAAGTAGTCCTTGACCTAGGACAGTAATGGAGCCTGCCCATTATGGTCGCAAGTGGGCACGGCCACTAAGCGAAACAGTTTTGCTTAACAATCCCCACCCCTGCTCTCCCTGATGCCCTTAAACAAATGTGTGAGTTGTTAAGTGGAGCATGGGGTGCCTTCTGGGTGGGGAAGGCCCATCACTCAGCTGGGTCCATAAAGGAAGCAGACAAGCAGCAAAGCCAAAAACAGCTCAGCAGGGAGGAAGAGCCCAGTTAGATTAAGCCCCAGCGCCATGTTCCAATGCCAGAGAAGCTTCCAAACAAGCCTCTGTGCATGCCTGATAAAGCCACCTTTGGGAAGATAATCCCGAAGCTTCCACTTTTGCATGCAGGCAGCTGGCTTCGCCAAAGCCTGCCAAGAGCCAGGAGAGCTTTGCAGTCTCCCAACAGCCAGCTGAGCAGGGCAGAATGCTCTGAAAGCAGCCGCCATTTCCACAAGGAACTGTCAGTATGTGGAAAATGGCAGGTGCTTCAGGAGGCATGGGGAGTAGACCAAGCACTGTGGGGTCCCAGGGGGGCAGGCCATTGGGGGGAGAGAGGTGGGGGATGCTGCAGCACCCCTGTCTCCAGTTGTAAGGGGTGCTGCAGCAGCCATTTTTCAAAATAGATCATATGTAGCTTTTTGGGGGAGGGGGAGTATTGTAACTTCAAATAGCCCTTAGGTGACCGATCACATCTCGAGAACTACCTGAATTTTACAATAATTGCTTGTCAGGATGACTTGTGTATACAGGACATCCAAATCATCTAACGCCCTTGAAAAATCAAGAGATTTGACACTAAGTAATCACGTAGCAGCCAATCTTAAACTGACCCAGCTGTGTTTCTTCACAAATTTCTTCAACTGTCGGAACTTTTTCTTCTGAACTTTGCAAGCTTCTTTTGTGACATACTTAAAGTACTTGCAGTCTAAAAATATATAAAAATTGAAATGGCATTAGCACAAATGTGACACAACAATGGTATTAAAATAACTTGTGACCCAAGTAGCGCTCTTCTAAACACAATTAGTCAATTCAACTGGACATATTTTGTTAACTCCAGGAAATGAAACATCAGAAAAGGCACTTGGAGATGAATAGCAAATCCAGACAAATACAGGTATTACTTTGTGACAAAATAAGAAAAGCAGCCAAACATAACTATTTTTCTGCTCTTACTGCCTCCGCAGCCCTGTTCAAGGTGACCAGGTTCCTCCTGGGGAGGAAAAGACCAGAGAAATATCTGCAGGACCACCCTGAAGACCACTTGAGGCAACTGCCATATGAAGTCATTCGGATCTGCTCTGAGCTAGACCCAGTTGGGTAGGTCCTCTGAAGTGGATTGAAACATAGTTTGGCTCAATTTTCTGAAGACAATTTGCACCTGTCGGTCCTGAGACATTACCAAGAGCAATTTAAGCATGGTCACCTGTCTATTAAATCAACCTCATTTTCATCCTGCCTCCAACTTTTTCCTTTTAGGGAAAGCTATTGAGAAAATGGTCAGGCTGCAGCTTCACAAAGCCCTGAAGGATATGACTTATCAACCACCAGAATTAGTGTGAAATTTACCAGGTTTTTTGGACTTTTAGCTCTTGCTTCAACAGCAAGTGGCAGCAGTGGCAGGGAGGGCCTTTGCACACCTCCATTTTGTTTGCCAATTGCACTTGTTCCTAGATTGGAAAGCCTAGCTCATGGTCACTGACTCCTTAGTCACCTCCCAGTTAGATTGCTGCAATATGTTTTATATGAGGTTGCCCTTGAAGATTACTCAGAAGTACAACTGGCTAGAATACAGTGGCCCAGATAGTTATGATGCCCGTGTACCACTGCTACTTTGACAGCGGCACTAGTTTTCACTTCTCATCTGGATGCAATTGAGTGTGCTGAGAATCACCTATAAAGCTCTTCATGGCATAGTTATGGACTATGCACGCTTTATGGGGAAAGAGGAATAGTTTTTTTTAACACTATTTAAATAGTATTTGAAATCGTCATTAACATAAAATAAAATATTATTTATAGGGAAAGAAAACCTTACCTTTTCCCAACAGTATTCCAGCTACCAGAACTTTTTCACAAGTGAGCTTTTTGTTTTCCTGCCAGTTACTTTTTGCCAAATAAAGACTGAAATGAAAAGCCGGCCACCAGTCCCTTCGAATATCCCACTCCTTTTTGAGCCAGTGAAATTGCTTATCAGAGCTGAAAAACATTTAAAGAAAACCCAGTAGTATCTGCATTAGATCTAAACCTGAATAGATAGATCTCAAATATTAATAGGGGAATTTCCTACTTTATTACAGGTAGTCCTCAAGTTACAACAACAACTGAGCCCAAAGTTTCCATTGCTAAGTGTTAAGTGAGTTTTGCCCCACTTACTGCAACAGTTGTTAAGTGAATCACTGCAGCTGTTAAATGAATCTGGCTTCTGCCTTGACTTTGCTTATCAGAAGGTCACAAAAGGTGATCACATAACCCCAGCACATTGCAACCATCATAAATACATCTCAGTTGCCAAGCGTCCAATTTGCTCAACATGACAATGGGGATATTGCAATGCCTGTTAAGTGCGATAAATGGTCACAAGGCACTTTTTTCAGTGCCATTGTAACTTTGAACAGTCACTAAGTGAATAGTTAACTCAAGGCTCACCTGTAAAAAATTGCAAAGATCGGGTACAAAGCATACATTGCTTCAAAAAATTCAGTCTGGGTAATATAGGGCCATTTCTGTTTTCCATACAATTATAAATGTACTCACGCTAAATATTAACTCAAATCTAGCTTAAATTCAAAAGGACAGGCAAAGCAAGATGAATGTTAGCCAGGAAATCCAAGTAAACACAGCTTTGTTCTAATTAGATATCACTTTGGACAAGTATAGCTTTGTCCTGTATTTAATCAGTTAGAATCTTTCAATGGAGTCCAGCAATAAAAACTCTATGTAACTGATTTTTCAAAAATTCAGCACATTACTATGCAATTGCATCGAGTTCAATATAGTTATTTTTTTACTTTGATTTTTAATGTTTTGACCTGGTACGGATGCATCATCTAAAGTCTAGAATTTAAGGGAAAAGAACCCTTCCCAAATGTGCATTTTATTAAAATTAGCTAATGCTCACTTAAGGAGATTGCTAAATTTTCTTGAACATTTCCAACTCTGGGTTTCAGATTCTATTTTTTAAAAAATGTCTTATTTCCATCTGAAAAGATCCCCCATTTTATGCAGAGGACTAGACCTCTTCCCCAAGAAAATTAAAGTACATTGGATTTTTACAATATATATAGCACACATATTTATATAGATATAATCATACTGCAAGACCTGATAGACTTACTTTTGTAGAATTTCTACTGTCTGTTTTGCCAAATAACTCCAAGCTTTTACGTTTTCCTTCCATCCAGCAAAATCCAAGGCTGCAAAAATAACTTTCAACTGTAACTTACGTTTTTTCTTTTTTTCTGAAATTAGAATAGATCCCATTATTCTTATAGTATTCTAATATATGCAAAAGAGATAAAAGTTCTCATTTTCAAGTTGGTGAGGCTTTTCCTTTTTTAATTTCTGAAACCAAGCACAAAAATCCAGTAACAGCTGCAGTAGTAGCAACTAATTGTATTGAATATAATCTCTTCAATTTGAAATGATAAGATACTATATATGAACCTTCCCCAACCAGACGCCGTTCTGAAGTCAGCCACTAATTCCTAGCTTTTAACCATGGTAGTTGGAAATTATAGGAAATTGAAAAGGACTCAATATAAAGTGAATTAAAAATTATGCGATAAAAACTAGTTTTTAAAATTAGCTTAAAAGCCAATGATATATATTATTCAAGAATAGCATGCCACAGCTAAAACAAGCCCTTTGCTGTTTGTTAATAGAGGGCCAGAAACAGAGGGACCCATCACAAGATATGGGCAGGTTCACAGGAGTTCAGGTGATTTTTTTTTTTAAAAAATCTATCAAGCCTTTTAATATGAAAACCAATAACATAAAGTGAGCCAGGAAAAAAAGGAAACAGTAATTAGCACAATATCAGAATAATTTAATCAGTGTGCTTGGCTTTCATGAACATCCAGGCACTATCATCTATGCCAGTGATGGCGAACCTTTTAGAGACTGAGTGCCCAAACTGCAACCCAAAACCCACTTATGCATCATCGGGTGCCGGGTGGGTGTGGCCCATGGGGTGGGTGTGGCCCATTGGGTGGGCGTGGCTGCGGTGGTAACGGCGGACTGGGTGGGACTAAAAAGTTCAATCAATCAATTCCAACTTTGCAAGATTTTTTTTTTCCCCACGAGAAGTTGAAATTGACTGATTGAACCTTTTTTTTTTGTACACGGCGGCAGAGGCCTAAAGCAAAAAGGTTTTATAAAACCCAGCTGAAGGCCTAGGACTGGGGCGACGGCGCGCGTGCCCACAGAGAGGGCTCTGAGTGCCGCCTCTGGCACCCGTGCCATAGGTTCGCCACCACTGATCTATGCAGTGTTTCTCAACCTTGACAATTTTAAGGCATGTGGACTTCAACTTCCAGAATTCCAGCCAGCATTGCTGGCTGTGGAATTCTGGGAGTTGAAGTCCACATGCCTTAAAATTGTCAAAGTTGAGAAACACTAATCTATAGCGATGTTTTCAAAACAAAGGCAGTTCTACACAAAATGCCTTGCGATAGTTTAGTCAGGCTGTAACCAATGCAGGTAGAACACGGTTGTTCTGCTTTCCTCCAGGAGATAAGTCCAAGTTAGCAAAAGGAACTCTTAGTTGTAAACTTTTATTTGCATTAGGATTTGCTTGAAACTTTTTCTTTTAATTATGGCTCAAGGGAGGAACAGAGCAATTAATCTGAGTTCAATGCTGGGATACCTTAAAAGGACTCACTCGATTTTCTAAGCAAGTTGTAAAATTCCAGCATTAGTTCATGGGAAGGAACAAGCTCATGCAGGATCTAGGAAGAAACAGGCAAATGGGTGAATGTTGGAAAACAAAACTAGGCACTTTTACATCTCAATGGTTTTACAGAAGATACCTGCCAAAGTTTATACCAGAGGACAGAATTAGACTGCCAGTTTCACCTCAGAGTCAAGGCACATTACAGGTAGTCCTCAACTTATCACCAGTCCTTAACCAGTCTTAATTTGAGGATACAACAGACTTCAGAAAAGCTATTTACAGCCCAATCTCAAAGTTAACATCCCCCCCCCACACACACAAACAGAATCAAATTATTGCATTTTGGGCACATGGGTGAGATGATGGGATTGCATTTATGACCAGTGCAGCATCCCATGACTGCAATCTGTTACATTTTTTTTGCCATTTTCCAGCAGAAAATGATGTGATTTGCTTAATGACCATCTTAAAAAGGTTGAGTCTGCTTATGTAGTACCTCAATTTACAACTGCAGCAACTTATGACTGAAATCCCAGGCTCCATTGTCGTTGTAAATCAAGGATTATCTGTGTATCAGGTGTAAAGTACATGCCGCGCTAAAGAGTTTGAAATACGTATTCTGGCATCAAAAAATTATATTTTATTAAGCAAAAAAGGTGCGTAGAAACTGAAGTCAGCCCATTAATCTATTCCAGTTATTGCAAAGATCACTGGCACTGCATTCTTACTATAATAATAGTGTCAAATTTATATGACAAATATTTTAGGGTTGTCGTGCAATTATTGCATTTAATTTGTTTTCTAAAAAGTACTTGTTTGAGCATTTTACACTTGAAAAACACAGTACAAGGGAATATATCAGCACAGAAGACGGTGGTTATCTACATCTAAAAGACTGTGCAATATTTTAATTACAAATACGAAAGGTGGTTTGGAGAGCCCAGGGGTACATGTTTGCAACTTCTTAAAGCAGCCCTGCCTTCTCCCAGCATCATTGCTCAAGCCTAGGAAAAAAACATATTTGGTTGAAGAAGTTGCAAATAGACACTACATTTGCCCCTCTCCACACTCCCAAGTTCCTATTTACTGTAAAGACACTGTATTCCCTTGAACAAATTGTGCAGTAGCAGTTCTGCGATAAAACAGGATAACATTCTTAGAAAAGACAATCTGGGTTTGGAGAATTTCTGTTGCTGCGTATAGGTAGTCTTCAAATTATGACCATTCATTTAGTGAACATCTGAAATTATGATGGTGCTGAAAACAATGGCCTGTGATGGTCACAACCTCCCCGCTGTCACATGATCTTTGCAACCGGTATGTATTTATGAAGTCTGCAGCATCCCAGGGACACGTGATTGCTATTTACAATCTTCCCAGTCTGCTTCCAACAAACAAAGTCAACTGGGGGGAGGGAGCCAAATTTGCTTAACGATTATGTGATTCATTTAACGGTCATAAAATCAGTCATAGTTAATGGCCCCATCACTTAGCAATATGTTCCCACTTGTGGTCATAAGTCATAATTCAAGGACTACCTCTACGTTATTGTGCCATCCTGATGGTGTTATTCCAGCTTAAGTCAAGAATGTAGGAACTTAGATCAACATACATGAAGTTGTTGGGTGAGATCACCCGTCACCATGGCTTGAGACATCATCAATATGCTGGTCATATTCAGCTCTACATCTCTAGACATGGTAACCCGAGTGATGCTGTCTCTGCCCTCTTGCAATGCCTGGAGGCTGTTAAGGATCTGGATGGGGACAACAGACTTCAACTGAACCCTGGCAAGACTGAGTGGTTTTGGGTACAAGGAGCCTCAGGATCCGAGTATTTGTCATCCTTCGTTCTGGATGGGATTGCACTACCCTGCTCAGACCTAGTTTGCAACCTAGGGGTTCTCCTGGCCTCACATTTCCTGCTCGTGACTAGGAGAGCTTTCGCACAGTCCCAGTCGGTGCACTAGCTATGACTTACCTGGATCATGGCTCCCTGCACTCAGTTACTGAAGTCCTGGTCATCTGTCATCTGGACTACTGCAATGCTCTCTGCATGGGGCTACCATTGAAATCTATTTGGAAGATTCAACTGGTGCAAAGTGTAGCAGCGAGAGCAGTCTTTGTGGCCCTGTGACAGCCTATATTACACCACTGCTCCATGCACGGTCTGCTTCTAAGTGCAGTTATATATTTTGTTTACATTTTTCACAGTAGTTGTTAAGTGAATCACACAATCCTTAAAGGAATAATACAATCATTAAGTGTATCCATTTTTCCAAAGGGGTGTTTTTTGCTAGAAATCACCCCCCTAAAAAAACCCACCGAAAATTGTGACAAATCACAAATCACGTTCCTATGGCCACACAATGCTGCAACTGATCATACATGCAAGTCGGCTGCCAAGCACCATAAATGCAATTACGTGACTCTGTGTGTGTGTGTGTGTGTGTGTGTGTGTGTGTGTGTGTTTGTGTGTGATATTTTACAACAGCCAGAAGTGCTTTATGGGTCATAAAGCACCATTCCAAGGCTGTTGTAACTCCAAAGGATCATAAAATGATCAGGGGTAAGCTGAGGACTACCTCTAGTTCTGTTGATTTCGGCAAGCTATTTGGTACACTATATTAGACATATTCAACTTCCAAGAAAACATTCATTAGCCAGTTTGTGTTCTTCATTATTCACAGATAAAAGAGAGTAAGAACAGAATCATAAACAAACAGAATAATAAAACTCCAGAATTCTTGCCTGCAGTGCAGAGATCTGGGTTTTCCTGGATTCCCCCCTTCTCTTTAGAAACTGGTAGTAGTAGACGTGGGCATTAGGGTTGGAAGGAAACTTGGAATTATACGCATAGTCACTTAACACTTCCTGTGCTTCTTCGTACTCCTCATAATGTTCCAGCAACTAAAAAAACATAAATGTTCAGCTGTTCATTTAAAACAAATACAAGGTTACAAAGTAGTACTAAACTATTTTGCAACAAAATGAGATTAAAGTAAAAGTAATTTAAAAGTGCAATTATTAGTTATTAAGGCAAGGTGCAAAAACATATGGCTCCAGGTGCAGTTCAGGGGGCTGGATGTGTCCCTTGAGGCTCCCTGACAAGCTTTTCTCTCCCACAAGTGCCCATTGAAGCTTTTGCTTGCTAATATTACTAAAATGGTGCAGGGACTGGAACCCAGATCCTAGGAAGAACAATTAAAGGAATCGCCATAAGAAAAGACTGAGCTGAGATCATGACAGCCCTCTTTGGATAACTAAAGAGCTGTCATATGAAGGAGGGAGTGAATTTGTTCTTTGTTGCTCTGGAGGGCTTGACCAGGCTCAGTGGATTAAAACTACAGGAAAAGTAATTCAGATTCTGAGAGAAAATTACTGATTGGTTCAAGCAACGAAACAGATTGCCTCCTGAAACTGTATATTCCTTTTCAGTGAAGATCTTTAAACAGGGGCTGGATAGCCATCTGTCCAAAATGCTTTAGCAAAGTTTGCACAAAGAGTTAGACGTGATGATCTCTGAGGTCTCTTCCAACTCCTGACTGCACTACCAGCTGTCCCCACTTGCTGCCTCTCCAATACTTTTCCAATTTCCTGCTCACTAAACTTCCCTGTATTTCTCTCCCCTCTCCCATTTAGTTTTTCTGTTTTTTCATTATCCAACAGACTTCCCCACTTCCCTTTCCTTTTTTTTTCTGCTGCTTTCCTTGCTTCTTTTTACAATTTTTATCTCACCATTGAAAATCGGTGCCATAGGGCCATCTATTGTCATCTATATGAACTGCAGCATCAAGGAAGATTTTGCTACAATGATAAATATGGAAAATGGATCTGTGTATCTGTGATGAGAAAAGTACGTATCGTGGCACATGTTATGTAATAAGCAGTTTGAACAGAAGAATCACCAGCCTCTGTTTGTAGGCCTTTATTGAAGGAGAACATGTCATTCCATAAGGCAACTGTTCCACTGAGTCACATATCCACATATCATCAGGAAATATTTCCTAAAATCTAGTTTCTTCATAGTTCAATCCGCTGGTTCTGGTCCAGCCCATGACTGATTGGTTCCACAAAAATATGTGGAATCATAAACTTTGGTTTACAGATCAAATGGCTGGTTCCCACAATATGTTAAGCTAGAAACAAACAAATCACATTATGGCTTAGTGTAACATGTAAACCCAGTCACTCAGCTCAGCCATCGTCCACTCTTAGCCATAGAAGCTCATGGAGTAATTCTGAACCAGTCATTTTCTTTTAGTTCAACCTACCTCACGGGGTGGTTGTTATGGGGGGTTGGGAGGAAGGAGCATTATATATGCTGCCTCAAGCTCCTGAACAAAAGGTAATATATAAATCAAACAAATGAATATGTATCAGGGTTGTTTTGTGTGTTTTTATAACATGGAATTAAATATACAATTTTGTAATGTTGGACATGTGCCCATGAAACTAAGCATAAGACAATACCAGCCATCCAATAACAATTTTATGATTAACTATACAGATAGCTGTGTGATGGTAGAGCTTATAGCACTTTCACAAATTTCTGAATCTCTGCAAAAGCCTCTACCACTGAGTTACTTAATGACTCTCTAAAGCTGCCCCATTTGACAGCCATCCAGATTATGTGACACAGAAAGTTTGTTGTACAAAGGCTGCTCTTACATCCACATAACAAATTACGAAAGGATCCCAAACACCAGGAATTCTGATTATTTCCCTGAGGCTGACTTTAGCCTGCTGGTACAAGCCATGCATTTCCTGTTGAAGAGAAGTTTGTGTACAGCTGTCTTCATCTGTGAAAGCAAGACATCCATCTTATAAATTCAATTTGAAACAGATGACATCATGATTTTATCCTCGATTTTAAAATCAACTTCTCAAAAACCCTCCAGGAAGAAAAGCTTAAAAAAAGAGATAGTCAAAGAATATAGTAATTCAAATTTAACACACAAAAGAAAATGTCATATTTGCAATACAACAGCTGCCATTTCAGATCTCCTGAATATTTTTTATACTAAAGAAGTCAAACAATAAAAGGAATGGTGAAGGAGAATGATAAAAAACATTCCATTTCATAGCTGGCAAAATATTTCATCAATGCTTTGCCACAATAATATACTTGGTAAGTTATGATCAGTATCTCTTTTATGAAACTCAAAAGTAGCATCCCAAGGTAATCAGTTCAGAACCAAATATATCTACACATCTTTTGGAGATGGCAGAATGTTTCTTTGAAATACACAACTCAGATGTGTTTACCTTCTCCCACTACTGTTATATGTAACAATGTGGAGTCCTTAGTTCTCTCTGAGCTTTGTTGTTTGCTTACAGACATTTTATTACCTAACTAGGTAACATTATCAGTGCTAGTATGGGAAGGGAGTTGTTCTTTATTTATATAGAGTAGCTTGCCTTGTGAGTATCAGTGGGGGAGTGATTTTCCTTTTGGTAGTTCCTTGGTCACAGTATTGTTTTCTGCCTATCTTTTGTCTTATGCTGATCCCTACTAATCTGAACGTTGGCTGTGGGTAAGAATATGTTCTGGTTTTTTTATTTCCTTAGCTTCTTATTGTCTCTTCTGGATGGTGTATAAATGTGGTTTATCTCTCTGTGTCCACTAATGGGTGATTTGTTCAAGTGCCAAGCTTCCAGGAATTCACTAGCTAGCATTGTTAGACTTAGTTTGGTCTAGGATGCTCACAGTTTCCCAGTTCTTCTCAACCTTAATACTTACTGTGGTAAAATATTATAGGTGAACTAAGCAACTAGCGTTTCCCTATTTCATTTTGTGCCTTTGCAAAATCACTAACAGATTATTATGATTTCTCCTTACACTTTCCTTTGTAAAAATTTAGCTTATCAACAAAACCATGTTGACAGCGTTTTTGACAGTCCTGATTATGGCTCCAAATCATAATTAAATACTATGATTATCTAAGGCCAATAATTGTGATAGAGCTTATCAGCAAACAAACTAATATTAGCCAGTTGAGAAAGCCATTTGATCTGAGTTCTCCAGGGTCAGTTTTTTTTTAAAACTGCAATACAGGAGGAACAACATATACAGTAATCCTTAGCCATCCCCATTGTTAAGGAAGATACCAAATGAATTTCAAAACCTTCTACATACTTCATCAGGTACTAATTCCATGAAATTCTCTAGAACTTCTTTCTTAGCAAATATGCCAGAGAAGACTCAGCCAAAGCCTTGTCTCACCTTTCATATTTCATGAATGGAATTGAAAAAATCACGGACAACTGCAACAGTTACTGCTGCATGCTGCCACTGTGGCATCTACAGGCACATACTCACCCAGCTCCAAAAGCTCTGTCTTCTTTTTTAACCACATATAATAGCCTATCAATCCCTTATAAGCTTGAACGAATTTCAGCTCTTTTTCCTGAGCAACAGTTTCTTCTCCATATCGCCAACTTTCAGCCAAGATCAAATTCTGATAGGCTTCATCCAGAAATCCACTGCATAAAAGGTGGAAGGCATGCTCTAAAGAAATCTGTAATTTGAGCTTTGTTTACTAGGTTGAACAGAAGCAGCAACTTTGGATACCAATACGCATAAACAAAGCAGCAGTTCCCAATAACTTCAGATATGAGTTGTGTCTTTAGAACTATTCTGTTTTAATAACAAGGAACCACTTTCAACTGCAGTTGTGTATGGGTATACTAGACGGTCAGCTGTATAAGAAATCAAAGATTCCTACTATAGAAATAATCACACTTTTTTACTGATACATGAGAGTGGATTTTTCCAGGTTGTGGAACAAATAAGCTTATGGTATTCAGTTAGAATCAATTATGGAACCACTCAGTTTTTAAATAGTTCCAAAGCCATAATTAAAATACAATTCTGTGTCATTAAAATTTGAAGCCATATATTTTATCAAAAATATCACACAAGAAGTGTAATGTAGAGATCTATACTAAAATTTTACAATAATAGTATATTTTCTTTTTTAATATAATTTTAGCAAAGAAATTTTAACAAGGTAAAATAATATAAATATTAGAAAGTAAAATAAGAAAATAAAACAGGGAAGGAAGGAAGGAAGGAAGGAAGGAAGGAAGGAAGGAAGGAAGGAAGGAAGGAAGGAAGGAAGGAAGGAAGGAAGGAAGNTAAAACATGTTTTCAATATTAAAATATTGCATTAAAGTTATTTTTACTTAAAAGTTTTTTTCTTACCTTTAAATATCTTTTGACTCCTAAATTTTTCATCCGATCTGCAAAATGATTGATCTCTTCTATATTACTTTGTGGATGCTGCTGCAAGATTTCAGTTCCTATTCTCCAGATCTCCTAATGAGGTAGAAAATACATCACAAGCAAATCATAAAACCACAGTACTAAAAGCAAATGCACTGTGACTACTGGTGCACCCTTATACAATTATTTACAACAAAATCACTAACATGATGCCGATGAGCAAGGATATGCACAGGGGCAAAGTCAAGAAAGTCAACATGGCAGACTCAATCGTGTGGTCAAGATTGCCATTTTGATTTTCTTGATCAATGTCCCAGTACATTTGCCTGTGAACACTATATTTCTGATACTCACTTCCCCATGAGCTATGCCATAAGATAGGCAGGTAGACAGACAGATAGAGAGATCTGACATTCTACAGATCAAAACACCAACCTCTATCATCTTTATTTACATAGAATACAGGACCCCATATAGACCCAACATATATTACAGAAAATAAAAAAGGTAGGTGACTGTAAGGTAGGGCTTTAAGAAATTTGCTTAGGTGTTCAGAAAAATGTGAAAGATAAAATAGAAAACATCAGGAAGCCTCCTGAAGGGCTGACAGGAGGTGAAGACCAGCCAATAGGTTGCCTTATATCAGGGGTATCAAACTCAATTTCATTGAGGGCCGCATCAGCATTGCGGTTGCCCTCGGGGGGGGCGGGGGTGTGTGGCCAGGGTGGGTGCGGCCTACTGGGTGGGTGTGGATGGAATGGGTGTGGCCTACTGGGTGGGCGTGGCCAGATCTACATCATTCGCGTCAAGGGTGCCTCTGGGGGCCTAGGCAGGAGTGGGACAGATCTGAGGGTCTCTGGCAGAAAGGGGTGGGACCAGGGCAGAGCCCATCAAGCCGGGTATATGAAGTAGGCGAGGGCCATTTGCTGGCCACTTCCAGGCGATGGTGCATTTCTTCATTCCTCACAAAGGGTGACACCTCCCCTGCATGCATCCAGGGGGTGGGGCCAACGCGGCAGGGGCTGGTTTCTCACTGTTTCCAGACGGCCTTGTGGAGCTAAGACTGAATGCATTTCAGCATAGATGGCCACCACAAAATTGTACATTGGCTCCCGGCCGGCCTGGGCCAGGGCCAAGGCAGCGGGGGCCGTTCCCTCACTGTTTCTAGGATGGCTTCGTGGGCCACATGAAACCACTTCGCGGGCCGCATCCGGCCCCCGGGCCTTGTGTTTGACATGTCTGCCTTATGTCAACTAAATAAATATTTCATGATTGGCTGCATTGTTTGTAACTTTTTTGTGAACAGACAATCCCATTATAACTTACTCTGACATTTTGTGAGAGCACTCACTACATCCATTCAAATTTTCAAAGGTTCCTACGGTCTAAAAAAGGTTTGAATCCCACATTTATGAAAAAATGTCCCATGTCATACATCTAAATGCACGACACAATGCATAAGACATTTTTATCCTGTTCTTAATTATATTATATAGAGGCACATGCTAGAGAAATGATATATTTCCAATCATTTCAAAGATATTCTATTAATTAATTTACTTACCTCTTGAGCTGTCACCCTTTTTTCTGCAGTTGTATTTTCCAGCATTTCCAAGTAGCTTATCATTAATTCTGCAGCCCTCTGCCACTGACTTTGTAAGAGAGCATCTTGGATACAGCATAAACAATCCTCTTTCACCTTCTGAAATTCTGAAGATTTCACAGCCATATTTGCTTCAACCAACATAAGAAAACATTGATCATTTTTTTTATAAATAATGCATACCTAAAGCATTTATGGAACTAAGTTTGCCATTTACAGAGAAAACGTGAATTTATATTCATGTCTGGAATGTGAACTCCAAGAATATATTGTGCATCAATTTGGCATTATCTTATCTCAGAAATCTTATCAGTATCCTGAAGCATCAAATTCATGGATTTTCCTGGCATAGGTTAGGATGTGTCACACCAACTGAAAAGCATTATGAATTTTAGCTTTTTTCTGGTGATTGCATAAATGTTATTAACATAAACAATCCTTCCTACAATGGAATTAAAATAAAAAGGAATATTTCTTATTGGAAGAATATTAAAAACATCTGGGTGACCTGCCCTGAATCCCAATTTTTTTCTGAGCACAATCCAAGATGCTGATTATCGTCTTTAAAGTGCCAGATCATTTTTTTATTTATTTATTAAAAAGATTTATAAGGCCACCCAACTCGCTCACTTTGACTCCAGGAGACTTACAAAGACCAGACCCCAAATGCAAAACACAATACATTCCTATCTTCCTGGCAACAACATTCAGACAAGTCACTTAATGGGCTCCAAATCATCCTGAGGTCCCTAGGCTGGCTGCCAAAACCATATCTTCAGGGACTTTCAAAAGAGTATCAAGGTGGGGGCCAATCGTATCTCCATGGGGATGATGTTCCTTAGGAAGGGAACCACCACAGAAAAGTCCCCTCATCTTAGTCCCACTAGATGGGCCTAACATACCTTGTCTCCTCACTCTGGTGGATCAAGTAGATCAACTGGATCTACTGGGAAAAGATGGTCCATCAAATAACCTGACCCCAAGCCATATAGGGCTTTAAAAGTAATAACAGGCACCCTGAATTGGATGCAGAAGCAAAGTGGCAACCGAAGCAGCTCCCACAAGAGGAATCCAGATTTGCACTAAACCACCACATTTTGAACCAACTGAAGCTTCCAGATACTTTTCAAGGGCAGCCCCATGTGGAGGGCATTACAGTAGAAAAACCCGGAGGTGACTATGACATAGGTAACTGTGTGCAGAGCCTATTTTTCAATTATACAAAAATCAATTTTAATGTAAATAGTGTACAGTGTATAAAAGCACAGTATCTTGATAATCAATCATCATCTGAAAGTACAAAATAATACTGCAATCAGTTAACTTTAGACAGATCATGTGATTGGTCTTTGACTCAGCTAAAAAAAATCTGAATTCCAAATCCTTTCAAGTTCAATGCTCTTCTCTTCAAAGACTTTCAGGTAAACTACTTACAATTTAATTGCTTCTAGAACTTCTTTTACTGGCTTCAAAAGAGGATCCCTTTTATTAAATACATCTAAGGCTACAGATGCTACTCTAACTTTCCACTAATTCTCCGGTCTATCCTCTTTTCCATGTACCCCATTGCCCCAAGAACTCACATTTTGTCCCAAAGCAACAAGGGAATTTGGGGAAACAGAACAAATGGAAGAATCTGATCAATAAGTAACAGATGAAGCTTTACTAGATACATTAGCCAGTTTGGCCTAGCAGTTAAGTCACCAGACTAGAAAGCAGGGGACTGTGAGTTCTAGTCCCGTCTTAGTCATGAAAGTCAGCTGGGTTACCTTGGGCCAATTAGTCTCTCTTTCAACCTACCTCATAAGGATGGTTGTTATTGTGGGGAAAATACGAGGAGGAAGGTGTGTTGGATAAGATTGTTGCCGTGAGTTATTTGTAAAAATATTAAAGATGGGGTGCAAATAAATAAAAATTATATCCTAAGCCTGGCCACAGAATTTCAGGAAGAAACTATAAGTTACTAACATGTGATTTTCGACTACCAGTCTGTATCCTATTAAGTATCCTATGTCACTATCACATTAATAACAGTAATAGTTAACTAGTAATTGTACACCGCCCAAATTCAGCAAATGAATAAATAAAAATATGTACTATAGCACAGCACACTGGTAAGGGCCACCCAACTGAATTTGCTTTACAAAAAGGGAAAAAAGTATCAGGGCAACAGCTAGGTTGGAACTCATCTTTCTAATTGCTAGTTTTTCTATAAATGAGAATTCCATGTTAGGTTAATGCTCAATATACCATTCCTCAACTGCATTTCAAAGTGGCACCAAAAAGATATATTATGCAATTTTTCTGAAGAAAATAATTGGTTATAACAAGTTCACTGCAGGCTGACGAAGGTCTATATGGGGGAAGGAGAGAGAATCCCAGGATTTTGCTACTTTCCTTCATTTCTACTTTCCATCATGTCAGTAAAAACTTACTTGGATGGTTGAAATGTTTTGGCAGTAAAGGCAAATAAATTTCTGGGACCAGAACATTGGCTGCAGACTCATCCTCTGTTTCTCCTGTGGACAGACACCTTTCTTGTCTCAGTTCTTCAACAAAGTTATCCATTTCTATGACTATATTTAGAAGAAAACCCGCTACTTGTACAGTAGTGTAAGCTTATAAATAAATCAAGCCTAATAATCTGCAAAAAACAGGAAAGAGGAAAATACACATTATATGGTTTAGAAAAAAATCAGCAACACTAATTTAATAGACACACTAGTGGTATCCTGGAACTGGCTCCCAGAAATAGTTTTTTTTCATGAAATATACACTTACATATATCAGCATTTAACCACTAAGGTAAACGCCACATATTTCAAATAAAGCAATATCAGGAAACCTAATTAACTAAGAATCAAAAATACTTAGGACACTAGTTGGGTTATATTAATTATAATCATATAATTATTAATAAAAACAGTAAATGAGCACCAAACTCCAGCAAATACCTAGGTCTGAAAATTTTGGGCCATTCTCAAAGAAGTCTTTTGAAGCTTCAATACCCCTTAAAGGTGGATCAAAAAGAGAAACCTGCTACTGATTCCTTTAAGAATATGGGATATGTTTATTCTTGATTTGTTCCCTCTAGAAATAAATTTACAATATAAACAGCCTCTTCAATCCACCAATGATCTGGATAACTACATAATAAAGTTGATAAATTAGATGAAAGAGACAAATCTACTCTAAATGATTCATGTAGTACTAACTTTATGGCTTGAACATTACAATTTATTCTCCGTGGCTTTGAAGACATCCAGATGATATCCAATACGTTAGCATGAGAGCCTGTTCAAGATGCCTCACTATCCATGTTGAATCAGTTTCATTGACTACCAGAAATCATTCAAGCACAACTGAAGGTGCTCACAGTGGTCTATAAAATTTTACATAGATTAGATGCAAGCTACCTGCAAGGCTATGAATTCATGGACAAACTACTCTGTGCTCTCAGATAATCAATGGACTTTTATGGATAAGTTGAATATAAGCAACCAATCTGGCTTTCTTTGTGGTAGGAACCATATTATGGAATAAATTTCCATTGGGATTGAAACAATCTCCCCCCCTTGTAACAATTCAAGAACTTCAAAATATTTGTTTTCCCCGGGCTTTCAATATTACTGTATTCACTTTTGTGTGTTTTGCAGAGGAACTGGGAGGAGGGGGCAAATGATGTAATATGCCCTGCAGCTTCGTAAGCCACCTTTCTATACATGTGTGAAGTCTTTTGTTTGCACATATGAAAAGGATGCAGCTTGAATCCTCAAATGCAAGGCTCCTTTCATCATTTTGATAAAAGCATTGGTCCTACGGAAAACATTAAGTGTGCGTGTGCGTAAATAATTTCATGTATCTTTTTCCTACATCTTGCAACACCTTCAGAACTCTTAGGGAAGTGGGTGGCACTTAAAATTTCTACATAATTACAAGTACAAAATTACATTGACCAGAGAGTGCTTCCCAAGTAGAAGATAATGTGACTGAAAGGAGTTAAGAGCCCACCTTGTTTCACAGAACCTGTAATTGAAAGGCATAAGATTCACAGGCTTCTGGAGGAAAAAAAAAGTGTCCTTCCAATATCACCCAGCAACCCCAGAGCTGCAAAACAGGAAACTCAATTGGCCTTTGCAGGGCACATTTTCTAAGCATTTGTTTTAGGAGCAAAAGGAAAACGACAATACGAAATAACAACTGAGTTATAAAGTCGCTTGCCTAATGGTCAATGAATTCGTTGGTTACGCTGTAATAGCAACCACCCATACACATTACACACCCTTCGTAAGACAAATTGTTTCCTTCCCTTTTCTTATTTGTAACAGCCGATGAAAGCGCAACATCTGAGAATTCTCAGGATAGCGCTACCTACCAGGACAGGAAGCTTCCTTCCTTTCTTCCCACCTCCCTTCGTTCCGGTTCCGAGAATATGCGCGTTACATTCTGTACGACAACGCCTTTTCTTTCACTTCCGATGCTTTGCTGCAGCGAGCGCCATCTTTTATTTGGGCATCAGGAAAAACGATTTTCTGCGTGATACTCTCTGCCTTTCAAAGTATCACATTCACCTGCGCATGCGTGAATCCTTTCCCTTTGGTGTCTAATTACCGGTGTCCCTTCATCGCCTTGGAGTCCCTGGACGCGTTTTTGTGCTCGTAAACTGAGCCTTGTTAAAGATAATACCAGTTCATCATTTACGTATTTTTCAGTGATTCTGGTGGTCTCTCGGTACCTAACAGAATTGGAACCTAGATAAATTGAAGAAAAAGCAAGATCTAATAGGTTGACAAATAGTTTGTTCTTTTCCCAGGCTTTTTTCTTTGGTTGTCTTTCACCGCTGTGCGGTACTGCCTTATGTTATGGACTGTAGTTATTTTAATATTGTATTAAAATATTTACACCTAGGCTAATATAAGTGCACCACTTCAGATTCATTTCCAGAAAATGCTTTTTGTAGAGAGGCCTTTTTAGATGGTTAAGCCTAGTGAAGCAGGGTCAGTCCATCACCCAGAAATCCCAGGGTTGAAGGCTAAATTAAGAATATTTTGAAAGAAGGCAATGGTTAATGTATGCTGGTGTCAAGAAAAGTATGTGAAACTAAACTTGTTTCAAACAATATACTGTAATACAGATAGAATTAATATCTCCCTTCAGCTGTGATCCTTGAAAATCCACATTCTCCAGTTTTTGGGGGACTAGAACAGTGGTGGCGAACCTATGGCACGGGTGCCAGAGGCGGCATTCAGAGCCCTCTCTGTGGGCATGCGCGCCGTCGCCCCAGTCCTAGGCCTTCAGCTGGGTTTTATAAAACTTTTTTGCTTTAGGCCTCCGTCGCCGTGTGCAAAAAAAAAGAAAGGTTCAATCAATCAATCAATTTCAACTTCTCGCGGGAAAAAAAGATCTTGCAAAGTTGGAATCGACTGATTGAACTTTTTAGTTCCACCCAGTTTGCCATTACCACCATAGCCACGCCCACCCAATGGGCCACACCCACCCGGCACCCGACGATGCATAAGTGGGTTTTGGGTTGCAGTTTGGGCACTCGGTCTCTGAAAGGTTTGCCATCACTGGACTAGAATATTAACTAGTTCTTTCTATTAGTATCTAACCATTCATTTATATCTAATCATTGTGCACGAAGAAATTTCTTCCATCTATGCTTAAATGTTAATTGGCTCAGCATGTTCAGTGTTAACTGGCTGTTTTTCTCTCCTCAGACTATTCTAGCTTTACATATTACGTGTACTTGGGGAAAACAGGATTGTATGATTGCATGCATTCTTTCACAGAGTATGGTTTCCCTACTGCTTATAAACTGAATTTTATTTTATTGTGATCCAAAGTAATCCAGTGAGTTTCCACTTGAACTTTGGTGTTCTTAGCCCTATGGCAAAATCCTAATCATTATCCACATTAAAAGTCAAACTAGCTTACAGCTGTATAGTAAAGCTTATTCTCTGATAACTTGGTGAACTATAAAGAACAAAAGTAGCCATAGAGGAATTTCATGGATGTGTGCCAAAGTCTGCAAAGGAACTTGCATGCCAGGGACTTTTCAGTATACTTACAAAGTAAAATGGATTTGGGACTCAGAACCAGAAACTTTGCAAATAATTCTTTGTCTAATCAAGACCCAGCAATGATATCTCTGGATTCTAAAGCACTCCAAGGGCCTTATTATGTAACTTACTGACACTAACTGTGGATTTGTGTTATGTATCATGTTTCCACTTCTGTACCATTTAGCCAGATGAATGAAGAATGAATGTACAGCAAATATTCCACTTTGTATGGCACAAAAACCCAGTTGTAGATCAAAGATCCTGGTTATCAACAAAAAAGTAAGCCAGCTGAAAGAAAATTACTTTTATACTATATTTAGACATTACATTTAAGGAATGGAATAGTAGGCAACTTTCAGAATGTTCAGGTTCACACTAAGGATTCCCTGGAATGAAATAAAATAAAACAATAAATGTGACATTTTAATATATTAGTTAATAATTTAAAATTATTTATAGTAACTGCAGGTAAGAAAATAGCAATGATCAGAAGGATACAGTGGATTGCACACAGTCATAAAGTGTGTATTTGGCACCAGGAACTCTGTCTGCTTTACACATTTCGTTATTTTAAAGGGCTCCTCTGCCAACCATCCAAAGGTGAACACAATTGCATTTCATAGGTAACAGGCTCTCTGCTTCTTTCATGGGAGGACACAAATCCAACAAACCTTGGCTTTCTTATGTCAGATTCGTGGATGAATATATTTTCCTGTTCAACACTAATTCTTGTGTACTTTTCCACTCAACCATATCTTCAGAGGTAACATCTTTCACCTGCTTAATCCTTTCAAGAAACTAATAAAAGATAGTAAGCCAGAGGAGAAGGCTTTATTTGTCTTGCAGCCTACTATCTTGGACAATGTGCAGGAAAATTATTTTTCAGAGGTTAAAAAAATGGATTTCTCTCTTTTCTTTTAGTCTAATTCAGTGTTTCTCAACCTTGCCAATTTTAAGACTTGTGGACTTCAACTCCCAGAATTCAATCTAAATTGTTTTACCGCTTGTATCTGAAAAATGACCTCCCACACTCCCTTTTCATTTTTCTTTTGGGAGAGATCCCTCAGATATAAAATCCATGTTTTGAGACTTTAACTGAGGGAAACAAACAAATCCAAATAAATTGTGGGACTCTGGCTTGTTACCCAGGGCTCAGTAAGTTAAGGCCTAAGCTCACAACTATTTGACAAGTGAAAAATCATGAATCTGGTAGCACCTTTTCTGACTAAAACAACTGTGAGCTGCAGTTCACTAATAGAATGCATACAGGGGCAAAACTGATATAGGATTTGAAATGATCTGGGGAAAAGAAATGGGAACAGGTTGGCAGATGCATCTTACGTGTGAGATACATTATAACTGAATAAATTAGTAATTGCAACATGTTAAGTTCTACATCAGTCTAACACCTTTAGGCAGCTGATGAAATGAGCTGCAATTCACAAAAGCTTGTCTTTTAGTAAAAATTTGTTAGTCAAACTATTACCAGACTTCCAATTTTGGGGGGACTGTAACATAGCTCTCCTCCTATAAATGTGTGATGAAAGTCAGTGAGACAACTTTTCT